CAAAATAGAGGAAGGAGGCTAAGATGCCAAAGCAGGCATTATGCTGCTTTGTGCTTTCAAGTCTGAAAAAAGTTTTTGGCTGTAACGAAGACCGCCACAACCAAGCAAAATTTTTATAGCTTGAAGCGAGACGAGGTCAATTTTCATATGGAGCTCTAATGGTAATCTACTCTTCAACTATAGTTTGAGACTTGTAACTACGCAACTTGGCAATTTTTGAAATTGTTGATGCTTAAGGTTTAGGGTTTTATTATAGAAATAAGATCTAAATTGAAATTTTGAAGATGAGCGAAGAGATATTTCGACTTTGGAACTAAAGACAAGTCAACTGAAATAAAGCATGATATTGTATGAGTTCATAGTCATTGCGGACTTTATAAAAAAATTAGTAGACAGAAAGTTGCGCGGAAATCCCTGATAGTAGGAATTTGAACCGCTTCATTGGTTTGCAATTCTTTCACTTTTCATTATCGGAAGAAAGGTTATTTTCTAAATGTCATTTCATTTTTTTGGCTACATTTTGATCCTAATTTTTCTTACCTTTTACGAATTTGCAATCTATTGAAATTAGCATTTTTCATGTTGGAACAGATGAAAAATACATAACTGACATTTTTATTGCATTCACTTTCATTTTTTACTTATTTTACTATAATTCCGATCCTTAAAATTCTTATCCACACTTATTTAAGTATGTGTGCGATTCTAGCTATCTTGTAAGTGAAATTAATTTTACATGTACTCGTCGACATTAATATTATCAAAATGATTTTTATTTATTACGCATTGAAAACGTTTTATCCATAACTAAATAACTTCTTTTCTCAGAGAAAGTCAAGTTTTGGCTCATGATAATGGATAACCTGGAATGCTAACTTGTTTTGATAAAGTCATCCTATTTGGACCGGAAGTTTCAGCTTCTTTGATAAAGTTAATTGCTTCTTAATGATCAGTTTATCCAGTGAAAAATTCTGGAACATTGGTGAAAAAATATGTTTTATAAGGGATTTTATGTGCCTCCACTCAGATCAGCATGAAAATATATTTATCTATGTAAATATGTTTGGCAAGTGGGTTTAGTTGGTCATGTTCTGCTTGCTTATCCTATTTGCTGAGTTCAACTATGTATGTACCCTTGAAAAAAGTAACCGATAGTCCTCACCACTTCAGTCATTGTTACTTATCCTTTCTCTCTTCTAAAGGCGAATCTTTCCTTTATACAAATATTAACTCATGTGTTAAGCGAAATTACTGTTCCGGAAATATCAATATTTTTTTACAGTCGGCACCATTTACCGATTTTTTACTCCCCATCTTTCATCATCATTTCGTGAGAAAACCACCTTGTTGAGCATATACAATGGATGGAATTTATTTCTCTTTTGTAAGCTTGATGACATAGTATTCTGTATTTAGCCCAGCGCAAAAAGCTTGGCATTGCAGCGTAGGAATACCTCTCAATGATTCTTCAACTAAGCAAACAAATAAGCCCAGGTACTAAAAAGAATTTACACTTACTATACTGTTATACAGGCCTTAATTACAGACCCGTTAAAATCATGTGATATATTTCTTTACTCCTTACTGATCCAATTCAACTTATTAATCAGTTCTTGAATTCAATATTATTTTTTTGCTTATCATTTTTGACGAATTGCAGTGCTCCAAATTAGAAAAAAGGTGGAAATTTCTGATCAAATATTTATCAGTCGTAGTTTTCAAATAATTGTCTTTAATTTTTATCTATTTATTTTTACCAGTCATTAGCGTTTCCACAAATTATTTCAGATTATAACAATATCTATCCCTGAACTTTTCGGTATCTTATATCCTCTGATTCTGTGCTCTTGAAGATTGACGTTTTTCGTATTCTGGAAAACTCGCAAATTTTGCATTGATGAAAAATGGTGTACAGTTTCAATGTCTTACTGTTGTCACAAATTTGTTCACTATTTGTCGGAACAGTTTCACACCTGATGATGACACCGCATGCGCCGCTACAAATGGTTCATAACAATGTCAAAATTCCTTCTCTACATCCGCCGGCATTGAAGGTCAACGTTTTCAAAATCTCCGTTGTTCGCTACTGCCATCAGACTAAAACATTTTTGAAGATTGAAAAGCTTCTATCATTTTATTTCTTCCAGCCACCGTACTACAGTTTAATTTTGAAAATCACCATACGATAGTTGTTTCATTTATGATTCTTCAACTGAAAGAAATACAGACATAAGTGGCATTCTACGGAAAATCCATTTGCAGGCTTCGTCACATGAAGGTTATATAGCCGAGTCAGCAGGAATGGGCACCGCAGTTAGAGTTTCCCCTTCTGCATTTTCAAATTCACTTCAAATTGGTGTTTATGATGATGATCTGGTAGTATTATTTCAGCAACTACATATGTGGAATCTTTTAATTGGAATTTTTACTAGAAATCTAACAAAATTTATTAAATTTTTGTTATAATTGATTTTTTTTCTTCATTTTTTATTTTCAATAGAAGAAAACATTCCACGATATCGTCATATTTTTTTGTTTATAGAAGCCTGGTATGCATCCAGCCACTTATGAATACATATTGACAGGACTAGGCTCATCCATATTTGCTGTTGATCAAAGAGGTTATGTCTACTTAAATGTGCCGCACATTGATGCTGATCCACCAAATCCATCAGCATATCAGCTTCATGTGAACAATTTCTTCAATTTAAGAATCCTTTATTCAAGTAAAGAAACTCAAAACTAATTGAACTTTCGCAATGATTTTTGACAAACTATTAACTCTAGTAACGAAACACTTAAAGATAGAAGCTCGAGAAGTAAATACGACACCAATTCGTAGTAGCGAACCAATATCAGTAATAATACACGTTATGGATATCAACGATAATCCACCACGCTTCAGTTCCTCTGTTTACATGGCCAATATCAGTGCTAGTGGTGCTGATCGACCTGTCATAAAGGTTATTCCAAATTTCTTTTTAAACATTCTGATTTTTGAAAATAAGAACCAATAGGTTAAAATATTTTTGTTTAATTTAGATTCATGCAACGGACAATGATACTGGTAAAAATGGGCAAATAAGCTACCATTTGGTATCAGTAAGTGGTGAAGCGTACAATAATTTTCAATACGACAGTTACGCGCATCAATTAAACGCTGTCGGAAATTTGAAAGCTGGTGAACGATATGAAGTTAGCATAAATAAAATTACAACTTGAACAGCTTATAAGCAACTTTTTCACAATTTTAAGTAAATTTTTAGTCAATGGTTCAACGATGACGAGTCGATAGACGCAATTTTTGCTTGCTAAATGATCATAGAGTTCCGTTTAAATTGGTTTTGGAATCACTTTTAAATTAAAATTTTAATTGCCATTTTAACGATGCAAAATATATGTTCGCGACCATAGGAATGCAAACGAATCACGGTCAATCTTTTGTTTTCTAAAGCCCCACTTGTTGATTCAAGAATAATGTCCATAATTTCCAGGTTGTACTGAAAGCGATTGATGGTGGCGGCCTTTCAAGTCAAACACTAATAATTGTTTATGCTGTGCCTGATAATTTTCAAGAACTAAGAACCCTTGACCAGAAAAAGACATCATTCGGACGAATACAAATGGCTGGTTTACCCAACTTTTTAGTTGCCAAATCGCCAATTACATCTACTGCATCTGGTAATTGCTAGACATAATTATTCCTCCAATATATATTTTCAACATTGATTGTCACCAAACTTCTAAAAGCCTTATCTTATCATAACGTAGAATTAGGCAAAATCAATATAGCTGTTGGATGTGGCTGGTAAGTCGTGGACGAACCGAACCCCTTATAGAGGATTACTTTCGGACAGAGTAACTTTCCGGTAGCAAAAAAAGTGCCGTCAAACATTTGGTTACTGATTGATTTGTAACATTTGATTGTCACTGTCATTGTGGAGCAGTAGGGATCGGTGAATTGTATTTAAAACAAAACGGGGCAACTTGCAAAACTCACACAGAGATGAATCGATGTTTAAAACAAATTATCTACGACAAACGGATTGATATGCTTACGTTTAGAATGTTCGGTTGTTTCAATAACATCAAGAATTTGCTCTGAAGTTCTGAGAGATGGTCCAAATTTAATCATTTTACACAGGTTTTTCTAGAAAGTATCGACTCACCTGAAATAATCCGGACTTACGTTACTGAAATAAGTGAAGCAACTCCACTGAACTCCATTATTATTACACTTGGGGTAAGTTCCGACGAAAAATTATTCTAGAAAATTTTCTCTGCTGCGAAATATTTTGCTTCTAAAGCATTCGAAATAATATATTTGAATGTTGTTGCAGAATGATTCAACAAAGGGACGAATGTATTATATGATCAGCGGTGGAAACGAGGATAACAAATTTGCCATCATCAGTGAAATGTAGTTTTATATAATCGTGAACAGAAAGTGAAACTAAAGAATGAAATACCTTATGAAACTTCATTTAATATCATCTCTATAAATCTCACCGACAATATCTTTTCTATAAAAAAAATGGGATTTGAACTTATTTTATTCCAGTGGAACTTTAATTACGATGAATTCATTTGATAGAGAAGAAACGTCAGTTTACAATTTGCAAGTCGAAACACGTTCTTCAAATTCAGATGAACATTTGTATTGGACCATTGTTCAGGTTGCTATAGCGGTATGTTCATTAGAAATTTGTGTACGTGGGGTGAAAATCTTGATTTTTTTGAAAATTTTTAATTGAACAAAAATTTAAGGACATCAATGATAATGCGCCAATATTCACTGACCCGCAACCAGTGCGACTGCGTATTAAAATCAGTGATGAACTCAATCTTACACCAAATATGTATGTAGGACAAGTGAACGTAGAAGATCCGGATGATGGCAACAACGGACGTGTAAGACTCAGAATTGTGCCGCCTATGGATAAGTACATGCTTAGATAATATTATTTATGATTAGACAACTGTCAAACCTTCTAAGTTTTGAAGAATTTAAAATATTCTTGGCAGTACTCAAGTTAAATTCTATCATGTTTCCCATTATGATATTTTTGACAAGATTGTTGGCCAATCCTTGTTTGTATTGCCAGATTAAAACATGGTGAGCATTTAATCAAGTGATCGAAGCCAGTATTATATTTCAGATTGTTTTCAATAAATGACAGTGGTGCTGTAATGGTAAATGGTGTTTTGCTAAGCGGACATTTTGGTGAACATCGAATGACTGTTATTGCCGCTGATCACGGTGATCCACCTCTTGAAACTCGAGTCAATCTAATTATCAATATTGAAGATACTCTACAGAGTGTATCATTGAATTCTGTTAGTTTTATTATTTGTTATTAAACATCCAGCTTGGAAATCATGCACCATTAAGGAGCAGGCCAGCAGTTATAATAATTCTGACTGATCTTAGTAAACGTTCTAATAAATCATGACAGGATTTTTTGATTTTATTCTTTGATTTCAGCTAACAAATTACGATCTTGAATATCCTCAATGATAACTAGCACATTTTCACAATTATCTTGTATACTTTCTCATTCTGCTAACTGAAATGTAAAAAATCCTTTTAGTTTACTTATATAAAAAAAAAGAACGAAAAACGATGTGCAAATAGAAATGTTAGACTACACAAAGTTATTCAAATTTTTGAACTGTGTTAAAGATGTAATAAGAAGCTTTCCAGAATCAGTTGTCAACAAAATCGAATAGTTTGGTGCGTATGAATTTGACGCCGAATAGTACCAGTTCTCTGCAAAATGTACAATTCACATTCGATTCTGCCATATCAGGTACCATAAAAATTTATAAAACTAGGGGAGAATATAATTTGAATAGTTTAGAAAGAGCAACTCGGAATACAAGTTATTTTCAGAGCAGAACTCACATAAATCTGATCAAGGAGAAACAGAAGTTACGAGAATTACTGATTTAGTAACAAACACAGCACCAGAAATCGTTGCTACAACAATTGTGCAAACAGCAATAGAAAATGCGACGCTGCGATTTGCCCCTGTGTTCGATTCGCCTGAGATTAAGGTTACTGTGGAAGAAAATCAAGGAAACATTGAACTCATCAAGCTTCACGCCTATTATGTGGACAATAAACCTGGAAGCATCACATATGTCATGCTTGCAGGCGATTCATCTCTTTTCAAATAAGTGTTTGGTCTTTCGTGATCCTTCTTATAAAAAACACAATGATAATTCTTAATTTCATTGTGTATGATCAGCTTTAAAGACGGAAATTCAAGGATGGAAAATTACCTAAACTTTTGCCAACTCTATAAATTTCACAATGGTGTCTATAGTGTGAATTTTAAATCAAAAACTCAAGCAACAATTTCAATCTTAACTGAGATATTTTGAAGTATTATTCAATTTATTTTAAAGTCTGGATAAGTCAATATCTCCGTTCAGCGAAGAATCAATTACTGCCGGATTATTTACAAACAACTTTAAGTAGTAGTCAAACTAGATTATATGAACTGTAACTGAAAGAAAAATTTCATGGAAATTCCCAAAAAATTTGAGTGATTGGCAGGTTCATTGCAGTGTAAACAGTTTCACCGGATCGCTCCTTTTGCTGCGTCCGTTAGATATGGAAGAGAAAACGTCATATGAAATTCGAGTTGGTACTGCAGAGGTTTGCTTCTTCTTTCCGTAAACAGAACTGCAGTATTTTATTCAAGTTTGATTAATATTTTGTCTAGTTCTGGGAGAGCAAAATTTAGGCGGCCGTTTTGTTCACAAAACCGAACTTTCCATACACGGCCTTGGTTACCGTGGATGTTGTAGATGTCAATGATTGGATACCAAATTTTGAATTTGATAGCTATCAATTTAAAGTGAATGCAGATGCGAAACTCGGTACAGCTATTGGCCAAATTGTGGCATACGATCAAGACAGAACCGCAAGTTTTCTAGAAGAATTATTTCTATTACGATTTGCTGAGTCGTGATAAGTTTAACTAATGGATCGACAAAAAAAAAAAAAAAAAATCTGAGGGTACTTTGTTTCACATGACTGCTTTAGTTTTCAGTAGACGGTCGTAAACGCTTCTATATTCCGAATGAAGTAAAACAGATAGCATCGAATCTCCATAAAACTATAATGTTTAAGGTGCCAAATAACGAAATTCGTTATCGGATCAAAGAAAGCAGCACCAATGATTCATATGTTAGTGTAGATCGTAAAAGCGGTTTACTGACTGTCAAGAAAGATCTTCGTCTATTTACAGATAAAAAGATTTTGGTAACTTATCATACTTATTTTGCAAAATTGTAATCCATAATTGAATACCTTATCCCCGCGACTGTTAGAATCGACATGATTTTCAGAACCTACCATTTCAGTTAAATATAGAAGCAGCAGATAATGGAACACCAAAACAGTCTAGCGAAACGATTGTTTTAATTGATGTTGAACCTGAAGAAACTGCCATTGCCATTTTGACAAGAACGCCATCAACGTTTGATGCAATCTCTTCTAGCAATAAGCTGCAGTTCTCAAAACGGAATTACTCGTGAGTTCACTGTGGATATATGATTACATATTTGAATAAGAAAATTGCCAATGTATCTGAAAGAAATCCTATTCACTCCTTTCAGATTTGAAGATCAATTTAGTTTTTGAAATCCATTTCAGCATTTCTGTATCGGAATCAGTCCGTTCTCCATATTTATTGCTTGTATTACCAGTGGTTAACAAGCTAGCAAACAGGCATTCCATAATTTGTTCAATTACTTCTGGTAATTACGGAGGTAATTATCTTTATTTTGGAGGTGAAATTATCTTTATTTTGGAGGAAATCAAGACCTAGTTGTACATGAATTTTCATATGCTTCACAGCATTTAGACTACAAACTCACCAAGTTTTAGGAGCCTTCAGCATTTCAACTGGTCCTGAAAGTAATTGCAAACTTCGAACTCAAACGCTATTGGACCGAGAAACAGTGGATTATTATCAATTAAACGTAAGCGTAAAAATGGAACAGCAAGTGGACCATGCAATAGTGCACATAACCGTTCTCGATACAAACGATAATGCTCCGAAATTCATCTATAATAACGATGAATACGGTGGATATTTTGCAGCTTTGTCCACTGATGCCTTATCATTTACCCTCGTCACCACCACTCAGGTGATCTTTCTAGTATGACAGAAAACATCGAAGTTTTTACATCAAAATCCAGAAAGGACAACAAAATTCCAAAAAAAAAAGTTATGATGGTCAAAGTTCTAGCTGAACTCTCAACTAGTTTTCATCGGTTTTGTAGTTAGTAATGAGTGGTAAATTGAGATGATTGCTACTTAACAGTTCCAAATAGCCTAAATTTTCACTTAAATTTTTGATTTAGGTAGAGGATGCCGATTTAGAAAACAATAGTGTTGTTACATATTCATTGAATTCGTTTTCAATGGACTCGAAATATTTCATGGTTGACTCGACCGGAAATATCCAGACAAAAATAAGTGCAACAAAAATGATGGAAGAGAGTCAGAAAAATTATTTTAATTTCCAAGTTAGTTGTTTTTATTTGTTTCTGTTTTAGTTGTTCAATGTGTAATCAGGCGTTTTGACATCAGAAAAACTGGCTCCGTTCTGTTGATCAGTGATGCTTGAAGTCATTGCAATTTTGATGCATTTCACCAGGATTCAGTAAATGTTGTGATAGCAGATGGCCAGACAGAGACTATGGCATTTTTTTCACGCAAGTTCAAGGGAAAGGCTTTGGAGCTTTTTCTTCCGGTCACTTGTTCAGGTCATCGTAGGTTGTGCGAGTTGACTCTTCATCGTACGCCAAAATATACAGAATAAAGGCAGCTATTGCATAAAGTAAGAAGTGGTTAAAACGGGGATTTTTTTTTTCGATCAGTCAGCTCATGAGATACCAATGAGATACCTTGCTGAACTTTTTTACTTTCCTAATTTTCTTCACATTCTGATTTACTGTAAAAATAACTTTGAGTTCTTTGGGAACTTCTCTTATAGTTTTAAGAGATCAGCTTCAATATTTGTTCTCAACTGGTCATTGTCAATCCAAGATGACCGCTCACTACGCTGTTCATTTTCAAGCCTCGACTACACTATGCGTCTATCGGCAGCTCCTAGGCCATAAGCTTTGTTGATTTTGCCAAATGTCTCCAGTGTCTTATGCTGACCCAAATAAATCATCCCTCTTACATCTTTTCCTTATTCTAAAATAATTATGAGTAAAATAGCAAATAACAAGTCATAGTCAAAAAAAGAAAAAAAAAACAGCAGTACATTTTGGTAAATTTATTTCTCTAAATGACTAACTGGAACAGTGAAAATGCTTTGAGATGATCGCTTGTGACTCTCCTCCTGTTGAAAAGAAGTTGTGTTCCAAAGCGGAGGTATTCGTAAATATAATTAGTGACTCAAACCGATTCATTCTGTCAGTTCTCAATACGGAAGCACGACATCTTAAGACTGCTGAAAAGGTAAAATCTATTCCAATTTGTATGCGATATTATAAAGTGAAAATTTCCTACTTTTTCCTTTCATAATCACTTTGCTGCAATGTCGATGATTGCTATTCTTAGATATCGTTAGCATATTAACTAAATTCCTTCAAAATGCATAACTAATAGAATAAAAGACATGAGCATATTCGGAATTATTTGTAGGAAATTGCAAAAGTATTACGAGAATTCACTGATCCGTGTAAACTGCTTCTTTTGGAAAGTGTCAAAGAAAACCAAAATGATATAAAGAGGCAGAAGCACGTTGATATGAGTTGGTATGCTGTGAATCCAACAACAAAAAGGAGCTGCAAAGTTGACGAATACAGGTGAAGCCATAAACCTAATAACTCGTTGAAAAATAAACAAGTCTATTATGTTTTTTCAGCAAACTTTTCGATAACTCAACAATAAGAACAGTTATTACGAAGTTGAAACTGCAAATTGTTATTGGTGAAATTCGTGTTAACTTAAAAAACGTACTTAGCGAAAATGCGTTGTTAACAAATTTCAAAACTACATCCGTTGGTTGGTGTTTTATCTTAATTTTTTTAATATGTTTCATTTTGTAATGGCTGCTAGTCCAATAGTAATGTTGTTTATTCCTCGCTTATGAGAAATTGGATATTGGGAATTCTAATCAGAATGCTTGCAGTAATGATTGTACTAGCGGTGATGATAGCAGGTGGAGCACTGATTGGGATATGTGCCATAAGTATGTGCTACATGCGGCATTGGATGGGGCGACATTCAAAGCATGAATATCCAAATATTAATCAAATTCCAAAATTTGGTGCTATATTTTTACCTAATCCACCGGCTGGAAACTCTCATGACATGCTTTATGAAACTCAGGTATTCCATTTCAAGTTCTAATGAGGGAAGTTCTTCATAAATCGGATTAGAACAAGGTATAACGTTGTCCGAAGGAAACTGAACTTCTCGTAAAATGGATAAGAAAAGTCCCCCATGTGAAAATAATACGTTTTTGTACAACATTAAACAAATTTTATTGTGAGATGCTCGAAGTGCCAATGGGAAGAGAAGAGAATAGTATAGTCAAACCAGTGGGAAATGAAAGCAGAAGATCCGCTCCTGCACACGGTACAGTATTCTCCAGCAGCTACGATTTGGATCTGGAACGGAGCTATCAGAGTTATGCTAAGAACACATTGACTGATAAAAGAAAATTTCCCGCTGAAGAAAGCATGGTTGCAATGAATGAACGAAATGAGCTAGATCCGCAAAAGAATGAGTACGTTGGATTTTAATTAATCACTAATTCAAATTTAAAATTCGTTTAATTAAATACTTTTAACACTAGGGACCTAAATTTTTCGACTTCCTACAACTTTTCCAAAAGTTATTAAGATTCCGAAACAAATTGATTGCTAAGCCACTTTAAAAAATCATTCACAAAGATTTATCAAAAAATTTTATTCAGAAAGATGCGGGGAATAGTGATACCTGCTCCAGATTACCCTATGGATCAAAAGAAAAGTGTTTTTTAATATGCATATCTATTGTTTTCTCATTTCTTACATTCGGCTAAATTCCTGAATCATTTTGAGATTCATTTATTGATTCAGGGAATCAATTACTCCAGCTCATTGTTCTTACAACCACGCGTCCGTAATTTTTTAGTGTATAGCAAACAAATTGTTAACGAAGTTATCCCATTAAGTAAAGATTTTTATTTTTCAACTACTAAAATCCGAAATCATTCACTTCAGTTCAATATAAAGACTCCCGCTCCGATAATGTTATTACTGTCGCATACTTCATTCTCTTTCTTGATAATGTTATAACTTTTTGAAATTTCTCGCTTTACCTTCGTTGTTCATTTAATTGCTATTTTTCGTTATTATTCTAATCTTTGAAACATCGAAGTAAATTTTCAAATGAATTTCCATATTGAGCAAATACGCACAGTTTTTGATATCATGACACTATATATTGCTAAATATTTGATTATAAGGTAGTCTTTTGAAAAGTAACTTTTGACAGAAAAGATTGCTCAATTTTTTTCTACTTCACCAGTAGCAACTTTCAAAAATTTTCAAAAGTCTGGTGAAATGAATTGGAAGTACCATAGTAAAGTGCTCTGGTCAAAACAAAAATTTACCGATGTTGATGACCGCCTCCGATGAGGAATGAGACAATATGAAGTGCTAAAACTCATTTCATGTTTTAATAAGTCATGCCATATGTTCCAGGGCATTGCATTCATAACAAAACTCTTAGTTACGGTATTATTTTTAAAACAATAAGATCTACTTAAACATACGTATATGCGACAAAAAGAACGTAATGGACGTCAATTTATTAAATACTTTCGAACTGTAACACAGATGTTATTCTTCCTAATTTCCATCTCCAGTGAGTATTTCATGTTTCCGTTTGTTTCAGACTAATTTACGAAGTTGCTCATGTGGAATTAAAAGGTGCTTGTTCTAAAATGAAGGTTTTTGAAATGTTAGACGTGTACTGCAGGAGTTTCAGATGCACAAAATTCGTAGTATTTAATAACTGCAAAAACAAACCAATCCAAAATTCCGGGAAAGGCGTTGGGAAATCTTTGGTAAGAAGCCGATAAGATTTAAGAAGTCATCAATTAAAGACTGAAACTAAAGTATGCATTGCAGAGAAGTATGAAACGCAGTGCTTTGTACGAAACAGCTTACCTTTATATTTTTTAAACGTTAAACATGATATAAAGCTATGGTAAGATGCAGAAAAAGGAAGGTATGGCCAGAATCGGTGTTATGCATCTTCTGTTGCATCTTCCCTCTTGTTTTTTCGAACCTCGTTCCGCTTCGCTCGGGACTTTGTACATATGCAACACATTATTAATGTCGTTCCGATAAATACCATCACAATCCAATACAGCACAACACCCGCCGACAAGACTGTAACAGCACATAATCTCTTTCAATTTTCAATCCGTAAAATTTTTGTATCATCTATGTTATTAACTTTCGAAGTAAAATTTTCATTGCACTTGGTTCAGTTCAATGTGTATCAGGCAAAAAGTAGTAGCAGCAACAAACCCATGAATTCAGTACGCTTGTATATGGGTGCCATTGCTGAACTGGTCATAAGCAGTGGTGATACTCGTTCTTGAAACATGAAATTTTTGACAACGAAGCCTTCATTTTCTGGTTTCTTCTCTTCATTTTCAAATACTCCTCGTTTGCGCACATCTTTCAATCTATACCACATTTCCGATCACTATCCATTAATAAATCAGGTAACTTATTTTTTGAATAACAGCGCTAGTTTCGATCTGGCGGAAAGTAATTAATTTACGCTACTTCGATTCTAAACAAACTTTCAAAAAGGATTTGAGGTCCAAAGAAGCATAAGTTCGAGTGAGAATCATCAGGAAGCTCTTAGAAACTTGTCGATCTCGAATATTAATTGTATCAACTGACTTTAACTTCAAGTATTATGATTACTTTTCAGACAAAATTATTCACGGTTATTTATTCATTCTAACGCTTGAAAACTGTCATTACTACGTAAATGTGGGTAATTCATGACTATAGTTTAGGTTATTTTTGTTCAAACAAAAAAGGGAAGACCAAAATATCAGAAGGTCAGGGAGAAATTCGGTTTTCCTTTGAACTGCATGAACACTTACTTTGCTTGTTCATAGTGAATACTATTTCTGGAATCGTCCCTTCCCACATGTCTTGCTGGCTGTGCTAAATATGAAAACGAATATATGGCAGCATGTCCGTTAAAGGAATGCTTAATATCTGAACCTCTGTGTCCACTTCATCAACAAGCTTTTAGAGTGTTTCCATTACACATCAAAGTTATATTTCAAGAATTTCAGTGAAGCGTTCAAAATTTTCTGACGTATCCGTTCTCTTTTGAATCAAAGGAAAATCAACCTGATGGAAAGGAGGCTAAAAACGTAAGAACAGGAAACAGTAACAAGTAAAGCAACCACATCCTTGTAAAGCAAATGAATAAAGTGCTGTTATTGAGAATTCCGGGTTTTTATAGTAAGTAATATATAATTTCATAAAGTTTAGGAAAGCCTAGCGGCTGCTCCATACTATTAATTCCCTCATAAGTTTGTTTAGAAATCTAACAAACTTGCTCACCAAATATTCTTCGGAAATCCCTTCTGTTCAGAAAAATTTATGATTATTCTTTATACGTAAACATAATCATCTTATATACCCTAACGGTAATTTGGGTTCATCAACATAGAATATTAAAAAAATTACCTTCAAAGACATAAGGTAACAGGTGAAGACATGGATAGATAATGATGATGGTGAAAATTCAATTGTAATATGTCAACAAGAATTTTTGGTGTTTAACCGGACAGTTATTTCAAGAATTATCTAGGTTTCTTTCACATCTGCTACAATACGGAAGTCGACAGATCTTTAAATAGAAGATGCCTGAAGGATGTAACTAAGAAAGTAAAAAATAACTACCATAAATTTGGAAATAAATGTTTATTTACAAGTGTTTCGACGAATGATTTCATTCCAGACGTGAGACTAAAAGAAATAAGAAGCAAATAAAAAACTAAAATCTTAATATTAAACAAGGGTTATCCAAGAAATCAAAAATTCAAAAAAAAAAAGATAAAAGATAAAAAGATAAAGATAAAAAAGTGAACCGATCAGAAAAATCAATAAGAAACAAATCAGCAGGAAAGAAATAATAAAAATAGACGGCTGCCTTTTAACGGGTCATTTTACATTTCACTTTAATTCTAGTCACTCCATATAAACATAGTAATTGCTATTGGCTCTTGTCTTAGCGCAGTTCTTTTTGGAAATGCTTGTTTGTCCCAAAATGTTTGTTACCTTAGTATTTTGGTGAATATTTTATAGAAAGCATTTCCAGACTTCAGAAAATAAATTTAGTACCATATTTGGTGATGTGTGTGGATTTACTCTTCCTCAAGTTTTCACTTGGCTTCACTTGTTAAAAAGAATAAAAATTAATGACTCGTCAAACAACGATTATGAAGGCAGCAAACAACGATATTGGAGATTGAGTTCAAATTCCTTTCCTCTCAAAAGATAATTTCAAGCATTATTTTGCGGAAACATGTAGCAATTGGAAAAAGGGAACTATGAGGAAAAAGCTAAATAGATTGTTATTACAATAAGTAAAAATGCGATTATAGAGATAAGTGGACCAAAAATTCTGACGAGAAATAATGCATGCGCTTAGCAATTTGAATGTTATGCCTGCATTACTTTTGTAATGTTACGAGTAGCAACTTTAGCGGTTCGTGAGTATTTACACGACAAACATAAACGATTCGCAACAAGCCTTGCAAACCGGCGGCACTATTAAGCAATTTTTAATAGAACAGATAGTGGACAGTAACTGGACATAAAGTAGCTGGATAGGACACGAGCACAGAATAAATGGCAAAGCCAAGTTTGGAGAATAAAAATGGGACATGAAATTAACGCAAGAGCATGGAGGCTTTTAAACGGTAAAGGAGCACAAGTTTGTACAGCGCTCTTCTTATTTCAAACTAGAGGAAAGTGAATCAACGATAGGAGATTTGATTCAGGGATTGTCCATGGCGTCCCAAGCTTTCATATTGTTTTATACATGAAACTTTCGCCAACACCTGCCAAACTACACTACTGCCACTGCTAAAAATTAACTTTTCTACATTTAGCCTTTAAATATCAAAGTTACTCACTCAATATTATTAGATAGTTTAAAGCTGGAGAAAAAAGAAATCATTGATAAAAGATTTCTGACAGTATCCCTATTTGTAAGGTTAATTTAAATTGATATTTATACCTCTTGATGCTTGAATAACTGATGTTCGTTGAAGGAAAACGTATAAGTGTTTTGTTGGTTTATCGGGACGGATGAATATGTTGTACATGGACGAATAACTGGTCGAAGAACAGAAATAAAGGCCGCTCGAAAATTATCATTTATCAGTGCATACAAGACGGGATTTATGCATGCAGATGTCATTCCAACTAAATGACAAAACAGATACCTGAAAATGAAATTGAGACGCTGTGAGAGTATACGACGATTGTTGAACTGTGTGATGGACCTGTTCTTCTTGATTTCACAGAAGGCAAGGTGAGGAACAGTACTTTAGAATAGTTTTTGGCGAACAAAATATACCTGTATTGAGAGAATTCGATTACTTCCAGGACATTGAGGACATTGTAAGCATTCATTGGGAACCATGCTATTGCATAAACCAATACTAACAGTAGCAACAACAATAAGGCTTTTCTGAAAATCTCCATTTCAAAAGCATTTTAACATTTCAATAACAGATATCACAGCTGAAACGAATAAATTAACTCTACGGAATGGATTTAAAGCGATTATCTGAAACAGAATGTAACCTATTTCTTTGAATCATAAGTTGTCGACGCTGCTGATCTATCGTTGTGCTCGCTTTGACACGTTTGCGAATAGCAGAACCAATTTGTGAGTAGCTGAATACTAAAGCTGTGAGTGGAAGTAAGTATTGTATAGCCAGTACTGAAAGTGTATACGTGCGCCTTGAAAAAGGCAACCGATGCCAAGCCTTTTCGATACACGTCTGCGGTCGCTTACGCCGACAAATATGAAGCTAAAAATCATCATCAATTCCATTTAAGTTAGTATTTCAAAGTCGCATTTTACTCTGCTGGAGGAAAAGAGCTGGAACACAGTGCTCTAATCTGCTTAAGCAATTTTATTATCTGCAGAAGAAATTGATGTAAAGAAAGAAGATGGGTTGAAAATTTCTACTGTTTCCTTTTTTTGAACTTGTTTTATTTTCTACTATCAATTTCCCGGAAAATATCACAATTTCTGTTAAAAAACTGAAAAGCAATTTACAATAGCCCTAGTATGTTAAATTAAATCAATAAAATCTTATGCTCATCAATAAAAACTACCAATATTTGCAAAATCTAGTCATTGCAGGTAATTTCTATAAGCAAATATTTTAACCTCTTCCTGCAACATACCATAACATCAGTGTAAGGTTGATTCCACGGTTCAAGCATGACATTTTCAGCAGTAACTGCAAAAAAATACGGCGTTGAAATCAAAATCGATGTCAACCAAACAATAAAGTAACACATAATTGGTGCTGTTGCAGCAAGCTTCCTGTAAATATGCAAGTTAATTTTAAAACTGCTCAACAATTTCATTTTATAACTTTGAAAAGCCTTATTCCAACGCTTGAATACGTGTTATGTCAATGAGAATCGATACTTGCCATTTGACTGGACACAAAGTCAATAAGAATCGATCCATAGCAATTAGCACAAGTGTCATGCACGATACAAACATGTTTATAGCTTGCACCGAAGCTAACTAAAATAATAAAAGAATTAATTTATGAATATATACAGGAGTTAAATAGGTGTAATGAACTGAAATTATTGGCTAGCGAGTAGAATAATCCATTAGAGACAAATAAAAATTCGCTGTCTTTGTTTTTCATAATGCTGTTTAGTAAACATGTGATATAATCCGGCTATGATCATTACTCAAAACCACCTTCATTTTCTTTAACAAGCAAAAAGGGTTTTATAACAAACAAAAGTGCTTTATTGACTTTTTTATTCCCCACTTCTATGGATCCTCAGTAATATTTGATCTTTTCATTCTCCTTATCTTTCAGTAATCTGCCAAAAAACAACCGTTTGACAAGCGAAACTGCCAAATGGCCAAAACAGATTTTTCGTAAGATAAACTGTGACAGGTGCGGTGACAACACATAGTAGAAGATCTGACACAGCCAAATTTGCAATAAAGTAGTTGCGTAAATTACGTATATGTGAAGTTCGTAAGAATGCAATTAGAACAAATAAGTTGGCCAATGTTCCAAAAACACACACCAGGCCATATAACAATAAAACATAGCTCTCACCTCGATGCTGCCATAAAAAACTATTCTAAAATTTGCATGGAATTTATCAAGAATGAATGAGTAACAACTGACTTTTACGGGAATGAATAAATCTAATATATCTGCTACTTAAATTCCCACGTTATGAATAAGTTTGAAGTATACTTTTGAAATCCGAAATTTTTAAAACCTATAGGATAGAAGAAGAGAGGAAATTAGTAGTTCTCTTGATATGTTTTACGAACTTCATTACAGTGGTTACGTTCTTAATTTCAAGTGTCAGTTTAGAAGAAAAAACTGAAACTTTTAAGCGAGCAAGATTTGTTCAATGTATATTTATTTAATTTTTTCAGTGAGTAATGTGATAAATTTGAATATAACGATGTAAAAAGCTGTAATCATAAAGAAAAACTCATTGAAGTCTCAGCTATCTTAACATTAATTATATTCTCCTTTCCATTTTCTGTTCCAAACATTCTGAAGTTCTTGCAAATAAATTTTGGATTAAAATTCAAAGAATGAAAAGAAGTTTACTTGAATGTTGTAAATTTCATCAAATTCATCGCAATTAATATCCGACCAATTGCTTCGTGAACCGCTTTCTGCGAATATCAATGCTGGCATCATTCTTCCTTTCAATATGCAATATATTTTCATCATTGAATTACTGAATAGTGTGACAGAAAGAAGTATCTGCACTGAAGGAACATGCGCACTTTGATGCAAAAATAGCATGATGATTGAAAAAGGATTTAAAATTGATGAGGTACAGTGATTACAACCTATTAATGTATGTCTTCCCATCCACAGAATAACAATTTAGGAAAGATCAAATCACGAGCAAAGTGCATTGCTAAAAACAAGGAAATAGGCATATTTGTATGACCATATTTTATTTGCAGGCCCTAAAACCAAATCATTTCCAAAATAATTCTGACAAAATATTTGCTGCTTTTATCAAAACACAGTGCGTCAGCATGAACTAAGTTTATGTTTAATAAGTTCAAACAAGAGAAAAAAGAAACAAAATCAACAGAATTCAGAAGGGCTGAGACCATGCATTCGTTGAAAATTAAAAAAAAAAAAAAGAAAACATCAGATCAATATAATTATGTTGGATTCACTAATTAATTGGCAATAATATCTTTATTCGTCTCACAACTGCCGCTTTTTAACTTTTCCCTCACCTGAATTAAGTAGCAGATTAACACTATGTGGCTCTATGAGAATATAGCTATTCTCCTGATTTGCTATTTACTTTTAATTCTCGATAACTTTCAAAACTGATTTTAAGATGAGAGGCTTCGAATACTCGTTAATCAACTGACAGCAGTGGCTGACGATTTAAAACTAACTTACGTTTGAAACTACAAATCATTTAGAAACTTCTCTGAAAATCTTTTCATGAAAAGTATTTGAAGTTTTGGAAACCGAGCATCTCATGAGTCTTCTAATGATCTCCTTGGAACTGAAATAGTGGTTTTAAATTAGCGGATTCAGTCAAGAGCTTTTTTGAATACAAATTTTTTTATCAGTCATGAAATCGTAAAGCAAATGATAGAGCATGCAACCTTCCCTTCCATACACCTCACATAATGCTCGGTTTTATATAATAATAGCATGCCATCCTGATCTCCCCTTAAGATGACAATCAATAATAAAAAGCGCATAGTATATGTTTGACTAGTCAAGGTGGAAACTAATCAGTAGTAAAGTGTAAATAGTTTAAAAAATGAAAATTTTAAACGGATTTTTGATAGTTATGAAATTAAAAATTTCATAAAAACTACAATGGAGGGAAGATTAAAGATAATGTACTGAGGAGAGGTGAATGAAATCTTGCGTGAGTCAGAAAAAATAGTGCATGTAAAGGATAGGATTACGGCAGGAAAAAGGAGAGAGATCAATAAAATGAGGGACGTGATGTAGTACTGAGAATGCTCGGGGAATGATCGTAATGTGACGAAGGTAGGTGTGGATTGGAGTTCCTAGAGGCTGATGTTTGAAGTGTTGAAACTATTTGAAGAGATCCTTTTAATAGAATAAAGATGATAATTAAGTCTGTATAAGACTACTTGTTTAGATTTATTTCAAATTTAAAATCCACTATGGTAGGCCTCATGCTATATAGTGGTCTTCAAGTAAAGTAGCAGTCTTATGCTGATGCAGACATTGATAGCAGAGAGATTTATCAGAATTATAAAATCCTTGAAATTGTTGCGTTACAGACCTAATTAAATAAATTTTAAAGGATCCCAAAGTGTGAATAAGCTTACAGCTAAGAAATGAGACGAAAGTTTAAGTCTTAAAATCTTAAAATTCATTAGCATGAAACTGGATGAAAAATAGTAAGTTCGTAGCATATTACACATTTCAATAGTGCAAGGATAAGTCGAGAAACTTTATTAATTCTGAAACAAAGCTAATAAAGGTTCTGAAGGCGAGAGAGGGAGAGAGACAAAAGCAGAAATATTGAATTGCATTTGATTTAATGTGGTTATTTAACAGATGCACTAGAAAGAATAAAAAGTTGAAATTCAAGAAAATCAAAATGTTAAAGATAAAGCAATCAGTTTTTGCTGTTTTGTAAAGTATCGGATTAGAGAAAACTCTTAAACAAGTTTCCCATTTCTATTAAAAGTATGTACCAGTTTTTTGCCAACATTAGATCGAAATTAATAAATTGATATCTTGCACTTTAAGAGCAAGATTTCGAAAATGTTTCTAAAGGATTTCAGGAGAAATGAATCCTTCACACCTACTTATGGTTCTATTTGATTTTCAACTTACTACATATTGAACTAGCATATTCCTCCAACTTCAATTTTGTAGACCAAATCATTTTAAGGGCTGCATAAAGCAATGAAAGGGAAGCAAATATTCTGGAAGCAAACACAGTGAGAGTAAAGTTAAACGAATTACGAGTATAAAATAAAAGCAGAGTTTTTTCCCAGGGAAATGGAACATACAGGGTGAGAAGATTAAAAGAAACAACTTGAAGTGGCAGCTGTCACTTGTAGCAGCTGTTACTTGCAATAGTTTTCTTTTATTCCATAAAAAATATTTTCTTTCATTCCATAAAATAGCAAACGACTATATTTGCCTTTGATCTCGTCAGATTTTTTAGGCTGTATGGCATGCAATGAGAATGAAATTTTCTGCAGCATTTGGATCCATTATTTAATAGGATGGTACCAATAACAAGTTGAATTTCTTTTAAAGGCGACAACGACAAAGCGACTTTGAAAGCGTCATCTCGTAGGATTTCACCTCTTAAAACTGTTTGGAAATTACTGGTTTTGAAGGAAAAAATATCCAAATTCAAAGCAATTAAATTTTACTCGTGATCTAATTAAGTTTGATTGATAGTTTACTCCTTAAGGACTAGTCCTAAGCATCGTTTTGTGATAAACAGAAAAGTTAAGTATTCTGGAATTTTGAACTCGTCATTGGTGCGGCACTTGCAGTAAACATGGTATCATAGTCGACTTTAATAATCAATCAAAAACCATGGTAAAAATCGTTCGGAAATTCAAAATCGTCACAAAAAGCTTACTGAGACTTGCTTTTACAATCGAATAAATTTACTCTGATAATTTACAACCCATCTGGGATTCGGCATTAAATCAATCAATTTATTTAACAATGCTATTTCCTTGTCAGATAACAAATTTTCTCTCCCTTTTTCCACACATTCGAAATTATCCGTTTGACTCTCTAACATTTAACTTGATTTTCAATGTGTAAAGCCCTTCCTCTATTTATCTCTCTTTGTCTGCACATATTTTATGAAATTATTTGAATTGTTGGAAAGCTTTGTTGTCGAAAAGCATATGTTTAGAACAACAGCCTTATTTTAGTTCAATTTCACCTTTATAAAATACTGGAAATATTTGCCGAATAATTGTAGAATGGATAAATAAAGCTTAAGAATTGCAAAAAAGTTCATTTATTGCTCATTTCTTCTGCCATAAAATCAGTTTTGTGTTATTTTACAAAATTTGCAAGGGCTTATCAAAAAATTAGTGTTAATTGTAAACGATGAAATATATACGAAAACAATGAATTTTCTGTCACAAAAACCAAGAAAATGTGTGCTAACTAATGTAGGGATAAAAACATTATTTATATTGTATCAGTAATTTTTTAGCCAATTGAAAACTAGGATGAATGATCAATTGGACCAAGTCATTTCTAGAAAAAAGGTCTTCCAAACAATATTCATTTTCTTTTTTTTGAAATAAGTGTTGTGAAAACTTCAAATTACTGTATCTATCTCATAGACATATTCAAAACTGGTTTCCATCAGGAAAATGAAATACTAAACAAAAAATGGCGTTTGAAAAATTTTTTATAGCAAAAATATTTAAAAAAATTTGCTTCGGCTTCATATTCTCAACTAAATAGTTTTATGTATATTTAAGCCACCGAGATGATTGTTTGCAAGGTTTAAATGCTTAACATTTACTGATGTGTAAATTCTCAACATAATATTCATTCTTTCTTGAAGTTCATGATAGGAAATGCGAAACAAATTGATTTTGGTAAAAAAAAAGAAAAATAAAAAAAATATTAGAAATTGAAATGTAAACAAATCACGCATGGGTAAATTGATAATTTTTCCGTCAAATTCCTTTTCTTGTTAACGTGTATTATTCGTAATCCTCTTATTATAACACGTAGTTTGTAGGAATATCAGCTTATTAAGTAAAGTTGAATTCAGCTTATCTATTTGTCACCTTGACATGAACCAAAGCAGCATAACAAAAATTCGTTTGGGACTGGCTATATTTAACTTGTACAAACTGACAGGTTCAATTCATCGTGTTAAAAATTTGACAGATAATAAAAGCAATGTTCGAATTGTATAATTATCAACCTTATATGACTAATGATATCGAACATTGAAAGAATTTGAAGTACTGAATGCAAAACACATGGGATATTTGACATGCATAAATAAGTTGAACCCAATTTACATCAGTGCTGTAAGCAAGAACTCACCTACTGACAGTCACTGATAAATGCTGTAAAATTTACAAGTACGTAAAAACTGACATAGAATCGGACTTCCGCCGAGAAATTAGAAGTTAGATAAAATAGAAAATAAGCAATATGTTTCCTCACATATATTTTTAAAGAGCAGTTTTGTGTAACACAGTAGCCACAAAGACTACTACTAATATAACAATTTTTATTGGGAGAAAATTATCCCTTTGTGATTTCGTTTTCAACCTCGAAATTTAGCATTTGTAATGAAATTTTTTATTAAAACAAAATGCATGCTGCACAAGGGAGTGTGACAAGCGACTGTGACAAATCTGTGAATGTTGAATAGATAAGGAAGAAGATAGTCTAGTCTATTAACAGAAAAAATTGATTAAGGAATTCTAAACAAAGACAGGTATTCAGCTAAGTTCCGAAATATCGTACACTTCAAGGATTTTGGCTTACACATAAAAAAAATTTCTTGTCAAACTGCATGAAAGAAGTAGAATGAAGTAATAATGTGTGAATGAAGTTACATAAGGTCTTTCCTGATAATTTTAAAAGGTTTTCAAAAATCTTTCTTACACAACACAAGATTGCATGCAAGAAAGATTGCGTGAATTTTCCCATCTAAA